AGATCGAAGCATTCTCTCGGCAGTGTAGGAATATATGTACATCAATCAATGGATGTCACTAAAATTTATAAAGTAAAGCATGTGTCCCGAGAAGCCAATGGATTTATCATCAATACAGATTATACAGGGTGGCGCATCGAAAACGAAACAGACGCATTTACTGGCAGCTCAGTTTTTTTTTTGGAAAAACGCTCAGTCCCGTCGATTTTGTTTCCGAGGGGGACACAAGTCTGGTAAAAAATCACGTTAACACGTGCAGGCCCCTGGGCGGGGGTGACACCAACCCTAAAATCTTAAATGGAAAGGGGGGTCGAGTGCTACCTTATTTTGAAGGTATTTCAATTCCCTTTATAATGATGTAAAATACATGAGCTTCAGTTCAGCAGTTTTGAAGATTTATTGATTTAAAGCTTAAAGTGGACTTTAATAGGTATATCAGATTAGTTTGTACTACTTTCAGAAGAATTTACTTAATAAGTAAATGCTTTTCTTGACTACGCCCATGGTTTGTTTATCATTTTGTTGTTGAAAATAGCTATTGGAGCGTTTTTTTTGTGGCAAAAAAGTTATTTCTTGAAGAAAGATAAGGAAATATCTCGCACTTATTTTAAATAGGAATTTAGTACATAGTTTGCGATTGATTTGACCAAACTTTGTTGCTAAAATAACTTGTAACGCTCTATTACATAAATTATTCATGGTATATTCCACAGCAGAAAGAGTTGAAATTATCGAAATATTTTTCTTACATAATCAGTGCGCTAATAGAACAGCAGAAATATTTAACGTGCATCTAAAATACGTTCTGGAACTTGTAGCTAAATTTCGGGAAACTTGGCCAGTCGTCAATAAAAAAACGCAACATTGAAAATTCCATAAGGAACGAAGCAATAGAAGTGAGGGTTTTAGGGCAAGTTTATGTAGATCCTACGTTAAGTACCCGCAAATTTGAGACTGTGTGGTGTTAGTCGACGTACTGTCCAACGGATTCTAAAGGCCCATAGTTTTCATCCGTATAAAATTCACCTGGTACAAGAACTTAATGAAGACGATTCTGGTCGGCGATTACAATTTTGTGAAGATATGAGTGAACGAATTATAAACGTTGAACATTTTCTATTCAACACTTGCTTTTCCGACGAATGTTTCTTAAATGGCGTAGCAAATTGTCATAACTGCGGATATTGGTCCGATTCTAATCCTAGAATTTATCATGAGGTTCATACACAGCAGCAACAAAAATTAAATGTTTGGGATGGTATTTTTGGCGATCATTTAGTTGGTCCTGGAAGCTTGACCAGTGAAATGTATTTAGAATTACTGGAAGACGCCATATATCCTGCATTAACAGCCATAGTTGAAAACAGAATGATCGGCGGTACATTGCGAATAGGTTGATGTTCCAACAGGATGGTGCCCCACCACATTACGCATTACGTGTTCGACAATATTTAGATCAGACGTTCCCAGATCGATGGATTGGTAGAAGAGGTGCCATTGAATGGCCCCCAAGATCGCCAGATTTATCACCTTTTGATTTCTTTATGTGGGGTCATTTAAAAAGCAAAATATATGCTACTCAGCCAACATCATTAGAAGACCTGCGACAAAGAATTGTGAATTACATCTCAAATATTGCAAAATGTGCGGCAACGTGTTGAGCAAAATCTTTATTATTACATGGAGAGTCATGGTGGCCATTTGCAACATTTACTGGCCTAACGGGTCAGCTCATTCTTCGTTTTTAAATTACTTTGCTGCCAAATGTATTGATCTCATCCTGTATATTGATAGCTGAATCATGATCTTTAGGCAACACTACTTCACCTAGTGTTAAGTTGACATCATATAGAAAAACCTACTTTACGTCACAAAAAACTTAAAAAATGTCAAAGAAACGACAAAATGTCACTTTTCAAGATACGTAATACCTGTGCGGGCTGGTCAATTCAGATGTTTTTGCAGCTTGATATTTTGATTACTTTTTGGTGTATGTGGTAGTAGAACGGATTGCTTATATGTTCATGAACTATGCGATGTGTAAACCAAAGTCTCACCCTCTATACAGGGTGACTTCGAAGTTGAGTCATTTATTTTAACAGTGAGTAGATCTGATCAAAAGAAATGTTTTTTTCCTTTACCATTTTTCTGGTAAAATTAAAGTAACAAAGTTATAGCTCTTTGGAAGTTTGAGTACCGCCCTGTCTCAATAATAATATCATGTGCTCGTGTTTGGCGACAACGGATATAATCCGCCTTATCGGTTCATCGCATCGGAAACAAAAAAGCGAAAGAATTTGGAACGATGTTTTTACAATTATTTTAGTCAGTTCAGTTATACATACAGTCGGTAACGCGTGTGAATAGTGTCTGTTGCGTGGCTCAAACGAAATAAAAAATGGCACATGTTTATGCGGATCGGTTTCCCAATCGAGTGCAACCAACCCCTCGTGCCTTTGTTAATGTAGTACAACGGGCTCGTGAATCAGGTGACTTAAGAGCTCACAGGGGACCTCACGATCAAATACAGGTCCGCACTGAAATACTTGTCGGGAGGATACTTTATAAAACAAGGTTATTTTTACACACATACCTATTTTGGTTTATCTTCCTTCTACAATCATTATCTGAAAATTAATGACTCAACTTCAAAGTCACCCTGTATACAAACGGAGTCAACGATTTGTATCAAGTGTCACTCTGCCGCGGCAAAGTCGTCATTTCGCATCGGGCATCGGCAAACGCCAATTTTGCATGCTCGGATGCAAGCAAATAACGTCCTTTTTTTTGGCGAAAAAATAGCTATTGCGTGGCATGATTATACAATAATGTTCACTCTCTCGCTGCGGCATAACGAAAAAAGAAGTCGACTCATGCCTCGTAAAAATACTAACTCAGTTTTATTATAATCCGGGATTCTGGTATAATTGGGGTTTTAAAAACTTCGCATCAGCCAGGGCTCGCGGGTATTCCATTTTCTGTTTCCTGCTGCTGCAAAAAACGTAATCATATCCAAATACAGTAGCTCCACAGAGATATTCAAATTTTGAAAGGATGCACGTATGCCTTTTAACTGAAAAACTTAATGAGATCCACCGGAACGGCTTTGTACCGCATGTCCATATGTGGAATAATAAAAAGGACGGAAATCACGTCGTGCAAGGACAACATTCTTTTATACTGTTAGTGGTTGTCTCACTCAACTAATCTACGCAAGCATGCGCCTTATTTGTGTATCGGCAGATAGCATAGTCCAATCATTATTGGTAACGGAATCGACCGAAACGCTGAACCTGCGGTCAAATCAGATCTTTGTAGTGGTAAATGTGCTTATTAGATTTATCAGAGGTAATGTACAAAAGATCGTGCTAAGTAGCGACGACTTCGATCAAGCCCCCATTCAAAGAATTCATATCGAAATGCATGCTAGTCTAAAAAAGGACATCTACCGATTGTTATAACGTTTGAAAATCAAGAGCAGCTTATCGCTGTGTCCAAATTGGATAAGGTATCTGTCTTATCTCTGTTAAAGCAGAGTTTTATTTGTCAAATAAGAATTAGGTTTGGATATCCATGCATGGTTTCCTTATTAACTTTCAAATTCAAAGCTAAGAGCCAATTTCACCAACAACAGTCCGCTATTCTCCACTATAGGGTAACAGCCCGTCAAATACAGCGAATGAGCTTCAAGTTCCAATCAACAAATTTTAGCAACCAATAGTCATGAAATGTTGAAAACAAGATACTGTCAAAGTATGAGATGACAACTTGTCATTGAAACATCACCAGCTTATTGAATAATAAGAAATTACATATAATTCAGTCAAAATTTTAAGAAATGTTTTGAATTAAATTCAAGTTTGTATTATTTTCTTCAATTGATATGTGATACTGGGTGTTTTTTCCTATAAACCTCTTGCAGATAGCCATTAAGCACCTACTTGATGACAGGCTCTACTAAGAGATATTGCTCGTTTCCAAACATTCATTCAATTACTTGCCGTACATCAGAACCATTATGGCACCTTAGATTGATATTCCCACAAAACCATTCAGGTTTTTTGATATCCATACATCCATAACGTTGAATATTTTTCGTTGTTCAGGAACTGAACAAACATCCACACTATATTCACAGCGATTAATAAATTCCCAAATATACGCCTTAAAGCTACCATCAAACCTAAAACCTAAAAAAAAACCTACAAATTTGCCATATTTTTCTTTTTTCACGGGTACACATTCTAGGTTATGTTTATATTAGACATTATTTAAATACAGCTGATTATTGCATTTCAAGGAGTGACACATGTGTGGGATCTGTCAACTCTTGGTATCAGTCACAAAACTTATTATACTCTGAAGGTTTAATTCCATGCTATTCAATGACAACACGTGACTTGTGTGGTTATCAGCGGCCATTTTGTGAGGGTGCGACAGGGTTGCCAGATTGTGCATTAATATCCCGTTTTACGCTCCTGGTCCCAGTGGAGTAAGTTCCGCCAACTGTTGAAATATACTCTACTCTGCTTTATGCGATTATTCGTAACATTTTCCCAAAATCATTGCACAACACTTGAAAAAATGCAAATGAAAATTAAAAATTATTTCCATGACGCCGCAAAATAGCTCCGTCGGTACCTTGGGTTATCCATCTTGATAGTAGGGATGTTCGATAGGATCCTATATTCAGAAGTATCAATACATTTCACGAGTATAGTCGTCTTTCATTTTTGAACTTAACCCTTTAATGCTTAGTGGGGTTTCGCAACACCCCAAAGAAAATTCAAATGTTCACTAATTTTTTGTGCATAAATTGGCAACATCGGAGATCCCGCTATGTTCATTTGAGGTTAAAGTGTGTGTGTTGTTGGTCGCACATTTTTGTTCAGTGCAATAAGTTATATGATATTTTGTGTTTGGGGTGACGAGTAACCCCAGGTAAGCTTAAACTGGTATTTTTATTTTATTCCACACACTAGATTACGTGATTTATTTAGATGGCTGTCCGACCAGATGATCCCAAATTTGAAGAAACTCTGTTACGATGGAATGAAGAACTCGGCAATGAACCTGATTCAGATAATGACGGCACTGACTATGACGACCATGTTTCAATTCAATCCGACAGGGAGAGCACCTACTCAACGGATGATAGTAAAGTAGAGAGTGAGACAGAACAACAACTTCCTGGCAAAGTAATAAAAGGAAAAAATGGACATATTTGGAGCACTGAGCTTCCATGTCGTACTCGAACACCTAAGCGAAACATTGTTTCATGTATTCCAGGACCAAAAAGGTGCAGCCAAAAATATTTCAACGGAATTAGAGGCATGGAAGTTATTTTTTAGCGCGAATGTTATAGATATTATGGTGGTGCATACAAATATGGAAATAGAACGACAAAGAGGGAAATATGTTGCTAATTGTGGCTTTGTTAACGAGACAGACGTTGAAGAGATCTTGGCTTTGATAGGACTGCTTTATATGACAGGTTGTAGAAAAGACAATCATCTAACTACAGCAGAAATGTGGTCAAAGCATGGACCAGAAGTGTATCGATGCGTAATGCATGAAACAAGGTTTAGATTTTTGATATCTTGCCTCAGATTTGACGACAAAACCATGAGAGACCGAGAAGATAAATTTTCTCCAGTACGTAATATATGGAAAATGTTTATATCTAACTCTACAAAATGCTATACCCCTCACAGTTATTGTACCATCGACGAACAGTTATTGAGATTTCGAGGCTATTGCCATTTTAGAGTATATATATTTCATCAAAACCTGACGAATATGGAATCAAAGTTGTAACGATGTGTGATTCACGCACATATTATATGGTTACTGCTATTCCATATATCGGCAAAGAAAATAGGCCAGATAAAGAACCTCTCCCAGCTTATTACGTAAGAAAACTGACAGAACCCATTCACGGAACCGGACGCAATTTGACGATGGACAATTGGTTTACTTCTATCCCACTGGCTGACAAAATGCTTGTTGACTACAATTTGACCATTGTGGGTACTCTCAGAAAAAACAAGAGGGAAATTCCTCCATCATTTCTCCCAAACAAACGAAAAGAAATTATGTCTTCTCAATTTGGATTCGACAACCAAAAAAACCTTGGTGTCCTTCACACCCAAGAAGTCTAAATCTGTGCTACTTTTATCGACAATGCATTCTGGTACAATAGATGAAAATAAAAAACCCGAGATAATAATTTTTTACAATTCTACCAAAGGAGGTGTCGATACCTTTGACAAGATGGTGCACACATATTCGGTATCCCGCAAAACACGCAGGTGGCCATTACGCTTTTTTTATGGTATAATGGATCAAGCAGGCATTAACACCAACATTATTTTCCAAATTGTTAAGCGTGATAGACAAAAAGTGTTCGTCGAAAATACCTATTTGAACTTGGACTACAACTGGTCAGGCCTCATATGGAAAGACGTTTGACAAAACCAATACCTCGAAAATTGAAAGAATCAATAATGAATATTCTAGATATGAAAACAGAAGAAAAAGTTGATCCACCTCCAGCAAAATTGCTAAAACAGACTCGCTGCATTTTATGTCCAAGAACAAATGACCGAAAAACAAAAACTGCCTGTGCGAAATGTTTCAAGGCTGTTTGCAGTAATCATCGAGCTGAAATATGTACCGAGTGTTTGAAATAAATGTTTTATCATTGAAACAAAATTGTCTATCTTTTATATTTTGTTCATCAAATAGGAATATATCACTGGGGTTATTGGTAACCCCGCCTAAGCAACTATAGCCGTGCTATTCGTCTAAGCGCTCCAGGGTTAAAAGCCATTGTCTGTGAAACATTTTTCATAATTTTTTGTCTATGTCCACAGTAATTACATTATGCATCAGGGAGATGTAGGGATTGACACGTCATACACATGTTATCTGTGTTTTAGGATGGAGAGGACATAATGTTTTTATTGCTTTGAAGAAATTCATTATCCCATAAATTAATAAATGATTATGACGAAAAGTAAGATGAGGAATTGGATGGAATGTATTTTATATTCTATTTTTTTGCAAAATACAGACAAATCCACACTATTCAACAGGTATGTAATGATAACTTTCAGTATATTGAAGTTAGTAAATTCAAGAGTGCCATGCATTAACAAACGTCCAAATCTGCTGCTAAATTTAGCAGCTAGAAAATCGACCTATTATTTGCCGCATTCCCATTCGCTGAGGGGGATAACGGATTGTTAAATGTAAACCTATAACATATATCAAAATACATAAAAGTTGTCCTGTTTTTTCTGTACAAAAGCATCATGCTGGAATCAAAAAGTGGTCTTGTTTATAATACAGTCGAATTTTCAGGATTTTATGCAATATTTCAATAGAAATCACTAATATTCAGAGACCTTTGACAGCTTTCATCAAATTGCATTTCGATAAGGTATTTTCCCATTGGTCCATAATATTAATGTTTGTGAAATTGGCCCTGAATCGAGTTATTGTTCCCTTGTCACAATAGTGGTAATTTTTTGAGTTACTAGAGCTAAATGGAAAAAAATAGAGGTTGTGCGTATCCCAAGTCGAACAATTTTTTTACCTACGTAATTCGAGAAGATTCAAAACAGCAATCTGAAAGAATGTATGATGTAGGATCAAGTTGTGAAATTGGCAATATGACTAAACTTCGCTCTTTTGTGACTCTTTTCCCACAAATAAAGACCTGTTACTATTATTTTTATACTTCAACTTTCACTGGGAGAAATTCAAGCAATCTATTGGCATCAAACTGGCTTCCCATTGCTGCCAATAAAAAGTTTCGCAACTTCTATATGAAACTGAAACTTTTTTCATCCTCAGCAATAAAATCTGTCATAAAATATTCAAGTACCTCTACGGCTATCTGAGAAGGATGCCACTTATTTCTTGCAGAAAGTGGTCTTTACGATACAGTATTGCTTCACTTCCAAGACTACCAAGAACTAGAACGACGAGGTATTTTTATTTCTGCTTTTACTTTAAATGATAAAATGAAAAGTTAAACCTGTTTGTTTGCAGAAAGTTGATAGTTAAGTAAACAGTGATTGTATCGGTGATATTGATTGCACTTATAAGATGCTGATTCGCTCTTTATTCCCACGTTACAATTGGCGAGTATTCACTGTAACCGCGAAAAATTATACAGTGAGAACCAAATTTCTCTGACAGCCTGAGCTCAATGTGCTCGAGAGAGAAGCGTGTATAGACACATATGTTAGAAAGAGATAGACGCCGGCTGGGTAGGAAAGCGTATTACCGCGTTGCCTAGCATTGCTGCCGCGGCAATATGTCTCGTTGTCAATATGTTCATTGAATTAAGATATTGAAAATATGAGTCAGTTTACTCCTTACGCCAAAATAATGGATTTTTTTTAGCGTACACATCTGCGAATGGTGTCGAATCTGGTAAGGATTGATTTTCTATCGGTCTTAAGGGAGCACCATTCTAGGTGTAAATGGAAGGTGGGAATCTGCCACAAATTCTGCAATACTGCATCATTGGTTTGTTTGGCAACACCGCATCTCGGACACTCCAAGGCAAGGTTTCCACCTAAATGATTTTGGTCAGTACCCATCTAGCGCTCGTAGGGGAGTGTCGTCCTGCTTCAAAATGGCTTTCACCTACATACACCCACGCACTGATAAAACTTGTATTGGCTAACGTTATGACATGAGTGAACGAATCTGTATTGGGACCTCGACAAATTATTCCAAAGTGTAGCTTAATTCTCAAGCTTTCGATAGTCTGCGCTATCATCATCAGAAGCTAGAGACAATTTTCAAAATAACGTTGTGGTTGCAATTAGTTGAACTTAAATTACTTACCTAGTTGAGGAGTTTGGTGCTAATTGTTCGAGGGCCGAGAATCATAGGGTTCCAAGCGACAATTTTTACAAATATCATTTTTTTGCAGAAATCTATTCTATTGAACATTCTCTATCGTTTCCTCTAAGGAACTCTTGAATACGTTAATAGATGGCGCCAAAATAAACAGAGAAATCCAGTTTCAAGTGCACATTATGTTGTATCGTTAGAACCAAAAGGTTTCAAGTGCAACGTAAACGTGATTAAAGTATTTCTATCAAAAAATTTGTGCAGATAGAAGTTGCATATAAATAGATGTCATTGGGAGACCAGCTTTACATAAAAGGCTTGTTTTCGAATTTCAAATGAAATAACAACAGTTTGATACGAAATCCTGGATTTTTTGTTTGGCTTTTATTTTTTTGTAATAAAATCCTTGTTTCTAGTCTACTGATTATTTGTTTAACCAAAAACATCCATTTTACTAATTAATTTTAGTATTTATAAGCCTTACAAAACAAAAAAATATACTAAGTGACATATAAATCCGAACACCCAGTTTAAATGGTTTTATTTTAATAAAATTTTGTATAAGTACTTAATGAAGCATAATAAGTAAATGATAGAAATTTCAAAATGATTGCACTTTAAAGCCCTTTGACCTTTAATAATGTGTGGATGCACCCTGATGTGCTACGTATTCTCCAACGCGCCTAGGCATGCTTCTGATCAGGTGGTCAATGTCCTCCTGTGGTATCTCATTCCAGGCAACCACCAACTCCTCTCGAAGTGCTTCTAGAGTCTGAGGAGGACGTTGCTAATTGAGCAACCTCCTACCCATCGTATCCCACACGTGCTCAATTGGGGATAAGTCGGGAGATCTTGGTGGCCATGATAACAATGTGACATCATTATGATGAAAGAAGTCTATTGTGACTCTTGCAATATGTGGTCGGGCATTATCTTGTTGGAAAGTTGGATCTACCAGGGTGTCAAGATAGGGTAAAAGATGGGGTTCTAGAACTTCGTGGATATAACGCTGCGCGTTCATGTTACCTCTGATGAAGATTAAAGGTGACCTGGAACCATAAGCTATAGCACCCCAAACCATAACTCCAACAGTGTGATGAACATGTCTTTCAACAAAAAACTGCGGATTCCTCCTTTCACCACGTCGCCTTCTAACCCTGGCATGACCATCGTGCATTCCTAAACAAAATCGAGACTCGTCACTAAAGACAATACTGTTCCATTCCTGATCCCAGAGTGACCGTTGTCTGCACCACTCAAGGCGATTACGTCGGCGTTCTCGAGTTAAAGGGAGGACCCAGTGTGGCCGGTATGAAAACAAGCCAAAACTTCTCATTCGTCAGTAAACACTTCGTATGCCAACAGTTCTTACGTGTTCTGCAAACCATATACTTTGCAATGGACCTGGTAGTGGAGAAACAGTCCCTTAAGGCCAATAATCTTAGGCGGCGATCTTCACGGTCTGTTGTTCTACGGCGGCGTCCAGTGCCCCTTGCTCTTTGCGTACGGCCTTCTCGAAGCCATGCCTGACAACACCTAACCACAGTGTCTACACTTCTTTGCACTCTAACTGCAATTGCCCGAAAAAAAGTCCAGCTTCCCGAAGTCCCACTATACGGCCCCTATCAAACTCACTAAGTTGACGAAATCGTACAGGTCTCCGTACTCTAGGCATCGTAACCGATCGTAAAGGATGTCAAGAACCAAAATCCGCCAACGTTGATTCTTTACTGCGGCTGAAATATTCATTTTTAGAGCGTTAGTGAATTAAAAAAAAGCAGTATA